CGATAATTAATTAAATATAAATATATATTAATAAAAATAAATATTATATCTTTAATAATTATAATATATTAAAATGTTAGTTCTCCAGAATAATACAAATAATATCAGAATAATAAAACATCAGGATTTTGTAAAACATATTTCATATACTAATAAGTCTACAGATATTATAATTGAGATTTTTTGGTTAATGCCAAAGGAGTGAATGAGGGAAGTGATGTAAAATATAAGTATAATTTGAGGAATAGATTTGTTTCTCATGTGTTTGATGTCATGGAAAAGACATAAACAATAAAGAATTGGAAAATAAAAGAAAAGCGTTTTCTATGAAGGCATTGGAGATCACTATCAGGAGTGTACAAACAATTCAAGTGAAACACTGGCGCCCATAAAGATAAGGTGAATGAAGGCACAGATTAGGGAAAGTTTGGTGAATAGTTCCCATTTGCAGAGTTTTAATGATAATAAGAGTGCAAAAATCATAATCAATAAAACAATAGACGTGTAGGGAAGGGCGTCGCTCTCTATTGGGATAAATGCCTGCTTATAGTCGCCATTAGTCCGAGCCAATTGGATCAGACACTGCAGAAGCCACGGAAGACCTAATCCGACGACTATAGCGAATATGTTGGACGCGAACCGCCGCGTGTATGGGTAGCTGCGGTTGGGTACAAAAAACTAGTGATAATAGCTACAGTGGTTTAGACCATGATTTTGGTTCTTATAAAGTTTTATAACAAAGTAAATCCTTAAAGTTAGTCTTAAGTCATTTAGTTACCAGCAGATCCGGCTGCTAATAGTGTCATCCCTGATATAGTTTGGGGAATCGCAAGGGCATCACCTGTCGTGCAAACAATTCGTTATTATTTAAGTTTTAAGGAATAGAAATTAATTATTTACTAAATCCACTGATAGCCCAAACGGTGCAATACGACAGTCCGGTTAACCATCCGATAGAGACAACAAATGTAAGAATCTTCCACCTCTTAGGCATTGTCACCCAAAACACTATATAAACCGGTGATAGTATGAGTGAACAGAAACAGTTGTTCATAATAGAGCTCTCGTTGTCATCGTTGTCTTCAAATTGCATTTTCTGGTCTACAATCTCTTCGTAACCACTTTTCACGTTTAGTGGATTCAGTTTGCCACTATTGCCGTAATTAGCATCACAATTGGTGGCCAACTGTTGCAACACAATGATCGTCTTGTCATTGAGCAGTGGAGTGCTTTCGGATCTCTCAATAGTGACTGCAAAGACTCACGTAAACAGGTCTATTAACAGCAATCTGAAGTACCTGACGAAACGCAATATATAGTAATGAGGGTGTATCTCACGTTTCTCATCACAGTCATCACTACTTAGTTAAGATAAACATAATTTAGTATTTAGATTTCAGTCATTATTATCATGATCATTTTTAAAGTCAATATATTGTTCATCACATCACTTACAGATCGACTCTATTATCTTTGATGACAAGAATCAGGACAATAATTGATAAAATATAAAACAACAAATCCCTGAGTATTGGCAGCGCTTCCAACTTAACCGGTCGACCGATATAATAGGCGACAGCGAGACCACAGGCGGCCGGTATGGCCAACAGGTTGAAGACCGCACTTCCGATGATAGCTCCGGTGCCGATGTCATTGGATGTGAAGAATACACTGATTGCCGACGAAAATATCTCCGGTCCCGATGTGCCGATGGGGATAAGGATAGCTCCGGTGATGTCGGGCGGCAAATGAAATGCTATTTACGTGAAACTTATAATTATTTCTCATTTTAAAAATTTATTCATTAAATGCAAACCTTCTCCTAGATATTCAAGTGAAGGCACAAAATACTGATCGCACAGGTATGCTATGGCCAGACACGAGTAGAGAAATACAGACAATTTGAGAATTATTTCACCAATGAACTGTCCCTATTTTTGTAGATATTTGCAAACTTAAATTATATAGGTTAATTATTATAATAATAACAAAAAAGCAAATAATGTACTCAAAAAAACATTTGTGAATCAATTGATAATTTGGAAAACATTACGCACTGTACAGTGCCTTACAGTGCACTCATCTCTACTATCTTATAAAAATATTATAATACTTACAAATGGGTGAACTGTTAAGTAATATATTACTTTAAACACAGTATATAAACAAATTTAAACTAAATTTATAAAACAAATGGATTATCAAGTAACTTATTGGTCATAGACTTGCAACCGGACGCTTGTTTAAGGCTCCGTTGATTTGTATACAAATCTATTATCTGATTAGAGATATCTAAAAGAAATGTCGGGAAAAACAGAGAAAACATAATTCGCTTAAGACTTTCACAAATTGAACAAATAATTAGCAGAAAAATAAAAAAAAAAATAAAAACTTTCATGTGTTTAATTATGCAACAGATATATTGAGACAAACAAAACAATGTCTTTAATCTAATGTATGTAATGTTGTATTAATTATTGATTTCGCCTCTCATTATGAAACGATGTCTTACTTTGCTATCAGTTGTATTTGCGGTCAAGTTTTGCCAACTAATGTGAATTGAATTACTCGTTTCGGAAGTAACAGTGATAGTAGACTCGGTGTCGGAGGTAGTACTCAAGGTACTTAAATCTTTGTTAATGAGCTTAAAGCAGTCACCATTCGATAGGCCGTCCAAAACAGTAATTGCAAACAATACTATCTTTATAACGAGTAAAGTTTTTGCCATAACTTGTAAACCACAGCAAATGTTGTAAAGTTGTTTGCGGCCAACGATTGCCACTTATATATCCCAGTCTTGAGGGGTATATGTATGGGAAGACTCGCAGAACCAGTGGCAGCGCCTGGTTTTCAGTCCAATACTAATATCATGTCTAATCAGCCGATTAGATATGAAATACACGAGCAATGTCTTGACGCATACATCCCATACACCATCCCATACACATTTGTGGACATTTCGAGTCATATGACTTTTAATACACAAATCAGTATCTATAGAGAATCAAATAATTCACGGCTTATCTCATAATAATACTTGAGTTTTACTATTGAGTTCCAATTATCCATTGCAATACCGTTAGCCCATAGCAACTCATGTGTTAGTCATAGAGAATATAACTAAATATTTTTGGGTATCTGTTTGTAGTAATCTGTTTTTAATAATGTGTTTCAATGGAAGGTTTCCAACTTTTAACCAATTGTTATATCTAATGATTATCTAAAGTCCCGGTACTTAAATGCCACTGGTGGTTTGCCATACTGTGCTGTTTCCCGCAAATTTTCACATAAAACTATATTTATTTGTAATTCACTTGGAATTGTACGCCAATAATTCCACAATAGACTTACAAACACACAAATTAATTCACATTTATTCTGTGAATTACTTTTAATATACCAGTACTAATAAACTCGAAAAAAGTTATATATACAATATTAAAATATAGATTATACTAAATGAATTTAAATATCTATAGGTACATGTACGTGTAATGTGTCCGGTATATGTCTGTCAGACATTAATCTTCAGACAGTTTTATGTAAATTTTTATGCAATCATAAACTTTATTAAACTTATGAGTTTCATAAGAACACACTTTCAGGTGTTTTCACTTAAATAATTACATAGAGATAAGATAATATTTGATTAAATTTATTTTTGCTAAATTAGCAAATATTTTTTTGTTTTTTCTAACTATTTTTGGAAAACTTTGAGACAATATAAATATAAATTTGTTGTTCTCGCTGAAATTATTTATTTCAATTCACGTTTTATTGACACATTTCTACGTGAGTAAACACATGCAAAAACAAATGCTATTATAATTGCCAAATCTTTCAAAACTATTGAGACAAATCGAGACAATCACTGAATATTCTATAATACTAAAGGACTGATAAAATTTGTTTTTTAATTATAAGATTCACTTTCGGTAACAAATATGAGGACAAAGACAAGGTTTTATCAATCGTGTGCTCTTCAAACACAATTCAGTCTAAAAAATAATTGATATTTTGATATTTAGATCACATATGAGTAGTTTTAATGTGAAAATAAATTGATAAACACCTAATTGGTAATCTATTGATAATTTATCTTGTTTGACTTTTCCATTGAATAATTGTTTTTCATTATTTTGAGTAAGTATTGTATGGAAAAATACAAACATTACATTTCAGGCATAAGGGCTAGTATTTTATGATATTTATTAATTTAAAAACAACTTACATTTCATGAATCCTAAATTTTTTAAAATTCAGTATAAGTTGTTTATATTAAAAGATTAATTTTGTACTAAATATAGCTTTAAGATTAATATTTGTATTAAAAAAATGAAAAAACTTTACTAAAAACTAAATTATTAAATGATAGCTACAATGAATAGTTTTAGACTATGCCTATAAATTATAGGCTATAATAAATAATTTTAATCTACATTAACTAAAATAAGTCTATGAACTTGTACTTCATAACAAACAAATGTTGATTCGGAAAATAAATTCAATAATATTTTTAGACACTATATTTTCTATTATATTATCTGTATTTATATAAAAATTAATTATTTAATATCTGATGTCGGTTATTTCATGATTAAACTAATTCAAACACAAAGTGTTATTTATATATCTAACAAAACATATTATTCTTTAAGATCTAATAAAACTGAAACAATCGATATAAAAGTATTCATTATTTTTTATAAAAATATTGAATTCTTATCATTCAATAGATCACTTGATTTGAAGAAAAGTGAATCAAAACAAACATTTGATATGAAATGAATATTTGTCATGAGAAAAATACAGGAATTGCATTTCCACATTTACGTGCAACCTTTGCCCTGGGTATTTCATTAAAATCCTTGAATTAATGAACTACTGCACTGTACTGTAGTGGACAACATGAGTGCAATATTTGCACTAAATATGAAATAAAAAGTTTTTGTATAACATATTTGTGGTCATTTTACAAGTTTCTCTCACTCTATAAATGAGTCCACTCTCTGAAATTCAGAGTCTGAATACAGTTCCGTTAATATATTCATATTGAGTCTATGCTAAAGTGCTATAAATTATAGCCTATAATAGTAATACAGTATATGAGACTCATATTAGACTTATGAGTTATTGAATGTGTGCAACACTTTAGATGTCAAAAGCATTTGTTCAAATCTAGTCCATTCTCTATCTCCACTTCAACCAGTATTAAATCGGTATAAATGTTTTTAACTTAAAAAGCTATTTGTTAAGATGAATTCAAAGTTTAATTGTGTGATAAGACAAGACAAGTATTTGAGACAATTGTGAGCCTATCATCTGATTTATTGATTTAACTGATATAAGCGCGTATAGAAAAAAAGACGATATAAATAGCGTGACAATAGTGTGTTGGAGTTGTGTTTTAATAGAAAAGTTGTGCATCAAATGGGAAAAACCTCATTAGTAGCTATAGGACTAGCTTTAACTCTGTCTTCACTGATCCCCGTCGACTCGTCTGACCAGATCATTGTCCCGCGATTTCTCACACAAATCGCCATTCATGTCAACCACACAGACAGTGAATTCTTCACTCAAGAATCCGATGATTTCCCTTTAGTTATACAAATTGTATGTATTTTTATCAAAACCAGATCATTGTCCCGCGATTTCTCACACAAATCGCCATTCATGTCAACCACACAGACACTGAATTCTTCACTCAACAATCCGATGATTTCCCTTTAGTTATACTAATTGTATGTATTTTTATCAATTAAATTATATCTTAAATGTGGGAAATTTAATAGTGTATAATTAACTAGGTCCGATCCATTGTCGGACTGATAGGCAACTTATCATTCTTCTTATACTGTTGTCTGGCCATCGGATTCCTTTGTGACAAACACTTTGTGCCTAATTTAAACCGTTTGGGTGACTGTAAGTATTATATTGTAATTGATTTCAATGTTAGTTGTATTTCTAAACGCAAATATATATACATTGTATATATATTCTGTGAATTTTAATCCATAAAATAATTGAAAATTTTAACCGTTTGGGTGACTGTAAGTATTATATTGTAATAGATTTCAATGTTAGTTGTATTTCTAAACGGAAATATATATACATTGTATATATATTCTGTGAATTTTAATCCATAAAATAATTAAAAATTTTCCCAAATTTTATCCCAATTATAGATAACTTGTTAACTACGGAGCCTTAAGCAAGCATCCGATACAAGTGCTAAGAGCATAGTTAACGGTTATTACTCTAATTACCAATATAATCGTGTATAACATTTGTGTATTGTGATCATTAATCTGACATTTCATATCCCTTTATTGATTGATTTTTAATTTTCAAAGTTTCACCCAAATGAATGAATGTCAATCATTTAACTAATAATTTAATGAAATTAATAATGACTTTATGTATGAATAGCTCTATCGTTATCCCAAGAAATAAGTGCTTCTATTTTGATCCCATTTGGGACGTCTGGACCGGAAATATTTTCCTCAATTGTCGGAATACTATTCACAGACAATGACATCGGAACGGGTGCTATCATTGGCAGCTCCTGCTATAACCAGTTGGCCATACCTGCCGCGTGCGGTCTCACTGTCGCCTACTTTGTTGGTCAGCCCATCAAACTGGATGCCGAACCCATCCTTAAAGATCTTTTATTCTTCATTATTTCTGTCATCGGTTTGATATTTACGGTCAAAGATAATAGCGTTGATATGTATGTCATTCAAACCTCAACTCTATATTTCATATCATTTTACAAATCATTTCAATCTTTCGCTTCAATACTGTAGATATGATGCTATTTTACTTCTCATACTCTTTGCACTGTATGTCAGTGTAAAAGTTGGCCAACACTGCGGACAGTCGTCTCAACACATGACTGATGAGGGGAATGCGTCGGAAGACAACAACAATAATGATAACGAAAATGTTTGCAAGAATTTTGAGGCAAATGAGGAGAATAGCGACGACTTATTTGACAACAAATATGTGAACACTCTGTTAATGCCTTTTAATGTGATGTTTGACATTACTATGCCGTCCAAGATGTCATCTCTTAAGAAATTTTTTATATCAATCGCGTGGTTATCAACGCTCTCCTACTTTAGCGTTATATCCATCACAGACTTCAGTCAGTATTGATTTTCTTGAGTTATTTATATTGAAAATATTCCGTCTCTTGAATACTAATTCATGAATATTTATGATTTCATTGAATGAAAAGGCGAAACACTCGGTATTCCGCACACAATCGCAGGAATGACAGTATTAGCCGCCGGTTCAGCCGTTCCTGATTTGGTGACAGCCGTAGTCGTCATCAGAAAAACAGGCAAAGCATCAGTCGGTATATCCAGCGCCATATCCGCCAATATATTTGCCATTTTGGTTGGTCTGGGACTCCCATGGCTTATAAAGTGCTCGTTGAACGGCTACAGCACTTCCATCCCGTCTTTTGTCATCCATTCCGAGTCACTGCCCCTCACGTCCTGTCTATTATTGGTGACAATATTTGCCTTAATATTTGCCCTTAAGATCAGTGAATGGCAACTCTTCAATAAGTTGGCTTATCTTTGCGGATCAATTCATGTCGTATTCTTCTGCTTCACTCTTGTTATCGAATATTTAGTTTAAGTTATTATATTAGATATCAAAACTCATTTACAAAATACCAATTCATTATATAAGGATTTTTATTTTTATCACATTATCTAAGTTTTAAAATTATAATATGTTTTTATTGTTCAATTTTTATTACTGTAAACACTTATGTCATATCATATTTAGTTTTAGAATAATTGGACTCTTTTTAAATCACTTTTTCCTCCAATTTCTGATTTTATACGAAAATAACACAAACAAACGCTAAATAAAGATTGACTTTAAAATTGTTTAAAATCATTTTGCAATCAATCTTAAGTTAAGATTCTTAACTGTAATTTGGAGTTCAAGTAAAAAAGTATCAAATTATATATTATTTTTTGAAATCTTATACTGTATTAAGTGAAAAGAGAATTGAAAAAAATACGGTTTTTCACAAATAAAACCTAAAAATAGAAACTAATTTTGAGAATTGTTTTAATATAAGATATAAATAATTACAAGTTTTAGTTATTAATTTTCTTTATTATATATTGTGTAATTAAATAAAATAGCTTATTGTAAATTTAAATGTTTACATAATTATAAATAGGATTATAGATTTGACTTCTATTCCGCAACCATTGTCTCAAACTTTTAGTATCAGTTATTCCCAGACTTCTCAGATAATACTTCTCATAATCATAGCTATATCGGTGCAAATGATCCATATATAGCTTCAGAAGTTGATCGTCCGTCTGAATATTCTCTAAGAATTTATGCCACGAATCAGTTGATAAAGAATCCAAACCATAGATACTTTTGAGTGATTTATCAGAACTCCATTTGGGAATCACATCTTTACCCGCGATGTTGTCTGCAGTCATATTCGTGTAATAGATATCAAAATCTAATGGCCGTCCCTTTAGAATATTCAATTAATTATGAATTAATTTTAAAATTACCAGGGTGCAAATTCAGTTATACGTAACATACAGTGCTATCCAAAGTGAACACTTTATACCCGGGATTGAGATAAGAAAACGAGGCAATACTTGATCCGATATAAGCATGAGATATGGGATATGTCTCATTGGTTGTGGTGTTCTTGTTGTATAAGACCTCGATCTCATCGCTGTGTGTATGACCCAGATATGTGCCAACAATTATATGATCATACCTTTCCGTTATTCTAATATAGTTATTTGCCCAGGACATGTAGCAATACATTAAAGGCATGTGAGCTATACAGTAGGTGACAGTAATACCATAATTTAGTATTGTATTGAATATAAGAAATATTTGTCAGTACTTATAATCATAACATATAATCCATTGGTCTCTGCGCTGTCCAACTCATCTATAAACCACTTGAGCTGACCGTCCGGATCGACGGGATCGTAGGCCAACCAATAGTTGCGAGAAATGCAGACATTATTATTCAAGACAACAATCTTGAGTCCATCGGTAACTTGCTTTGAATAATAGCCACCCTTTTTAAATGTTTTCTTAGCCGTCGGTGTGTTTATCCATTGCGACCAATAGTCATCTGCCAGTGTGTCGTACAGCCAACTCAGCGATAAGTATTTGTCTGTTTTGATGGACACTTCTTCGGGAACATACCTATTAGTTACGAGGAATTCATTTAATTAATTACACTATAAATAATGATTAAATCTAATGAATACATATTGAAGGGGTGGGGCTCGTGATTGCCAATACAGGGGAATATATTTTTGTTGTCAAATGATTTCTTAACCAAATCAGCCATCGCTTTGTTGTGGTCTAAGTTCTCCTGTTGAGAGCTGTTCCAGCTATCATGGGGTGCATTATCTCCCGTCCAGATCACTAAATCGATATCCTTATGACTTTCGGCCATATGTTTTATGGATTCGCCGATGAAATTGAGAGGAGTGTCGCAATCCTTTGCCGGTTCAGACCAATAGCCCGCAGAGTGGTTGTGGCCGTAAGATGTGGACCGACAGCACATGGGTTCGTCGCACATGGAGTTGGATCCCGGAGTGTAATACAGGTCCAAATGGACGTCAGTTAAGTGCAACATCTTCTGTTGTCTACCACTTCCCGACACAGGATTAAAAGGTTTGTGTTTCGGTAGATCTAACACCCAGTTCACCTAAATATCAATTCAAACATTCGGTATAATTTTAGTCATCATTTATAATATAAATAATTTTATTGAATTAATTACTTGAGGAGTAATAGCCTTTCCTAAGTGTGCCATACAATCGGGTTTTAACAGAATGGCACACATTTCGGGGACAGTTATCTTTGAATTTTGTAGGATATATACGATAGGATCTGCCATCACATTCAGTGTGCCCACACATACCCGGTCCACTTCGTCACTAGTCTTACATATTGTTTTGGCCGCAGATTTCAACAAATCAGGAGTTTTTATGATTAGTTTCGCAGCGTTTAGAGCAGAGACACAGTTATGACACGTCTGGTTGTCGTGTTTGGATCGGTCGATGTCATGCCTCAAGTCATCCAATTGCTGTCAACGTGTTATTAAATTATGTTTGAAATTAATACAATTACATTGTTTTAAAACTGCCAACCTTTATGACTTCCAATATATCATATCCATTAAGTTGTTGTCTATGTTCAGCACTTATAAATTGGTTCAATTCATGTCTTAATTGATCCAAATTCTCATAGTATTTCTCACATTTTATATAAGGTGTGAATAAAACAATTAAAATAGCACTTAATAGTAATAATAGATTCATTGTTTATTGTAAAGTGTTGTCAAACAATTGGCGACTTTTATATACTGTATAAATATTCATATCAAGAATATTATGATCTCAAAGATATTACAAACGGTTAGAAAAATTAAAAATGGATACTTGATGAACTATTTATCCTGATTAACCTGATTATCAAAATAATTATAATACAGTACACTCAAACTATTTATCGCTATCTTATATGGATTAATAAAATAAGTCCCTATCATAAGATTTGAGAAATAATTCACCAAGTACAGCTGACTTGCAATTACAGTTTTCCATATAAAAAGTTTTTTGTAAGGATTGACTCATTTACAGTAGTATTAGAGACCCTACTGTCAGGACTGTCCATTTGTATGTTTTGTTTAATACTAAATTGTCATTAATCTCTCATTAGACATACTATTTAATGCATTTGATTAATATAAGGATTAAAATGTCAGAATATTTTGAAAAGGATTAACTTAACGCTGGTGTTAATCAAATGATAAGCAATTATTATGAATCGCAAACATAATTGAAATTGAAAGCATAAATTGCAATTTATTATCTGGATTGCACACTAAAATGCAAACTTTGTATCACATAATTTTATCTCACGGTTAGTCTAAATGTCATCTATTGAAGTCACTAATGCACTCACATGTTGTGAATAAGTTTTAGTTATACTGTCTGTTATAAAAATTACTATACTTTACAGTCGATTAAATAATATTAGGTAAATAATGCTCGAGATTTTTGCAGACAATTTAATTATATTAAAGTGTGATCTCAAGAAGTAATTGAACAGAAAATATAACTAAAACTTAAAAACTATTCAATACAGTGATCACAATTGAACAATACATACAAATGCATGCATTATATCGGTATATGATATAAATGATAGCAATAGTTGTCTAATTAATCTCATTCTTAACAATGCGTAAGGTTTTCAAAACTAAAACAAATCAAAGTTTTAACGGATAATCGGTTCACAACTCATATCATAGTCTGACCTGAGATTCAACTCAAGAGTAAAGCAGACGATGACTACCGATAAGAGTGAAGACAAGAAAGACAGACAAAAGCAAAGATCCAAAACAGGTCTCGAAATCGGCTTCTGATTCGTCCGCTAAGACCAGT